ATATTGAAAATAATATTATAAGATTTATAAAATCTTATAATACATATTACTTTCAAATTAACTATTGAAATATTTATATTTATTGTAATATTTATTCAATAAAAAAACGATGACTATTAATGATTCTTGTACTAAATAAATATATATTTACATTTAGTAAACATTTATTGTTAGTACAAACAAATATTTATTAAAATTTAATAAATTTTTTCACTAATGATTTTTCATGTTATATCTAAATTTTAATTAAATATTTGTTTTTTTAGGTCTATAAATCTTAGGTCTATAAATATTTTACATATAAATATTTTATAACTAAATTTTGCATTTTTCTTTGAATATTTCTTTAACTCAGCATGCCGTCGATCTTTTTAGAAAAGATGCTCAATTAGCGACTTCTTATACTACTAACTTATGTATAGGATTCCAAGAACGAAAGTCTTCAATAGCACGAAAGGGAATTTTTCCGACATTGTTCGAGATTATTAGTTGGATGTTCAGTTCTTTCTCTGTTCTCGTGCTATTGTGAGTTTCCGCGGTTGCGGAGGCGGAACATTACCGTCTCGCACTTTTCCGTATTGCACGCCTGCACGGAAGAGCAAATAATTTCCGCTTCTTCTAATTTATCCTTATCTCACCACCCGCGATTTCGCCTTTGCAGGCTCTGCTCTCCCTCGAAAATACGAAAATAAATGACGTTATACGACGGAGTTAGACTTATCGTCTTTCTCTACGTAATGTTTATTCGCGGAATATAATAATCTTACATGGAAATTATTCTCTAAAAAAAGTAAAGTGCAGGAAGTTTAATTGTTAAGAAATGAATTTTCCTATTTATTACAACAATACTGAAAGTATTCTTATTAATTAAAAAATTATTATTCTTTGAATTAAATATGTCGACGTAAATTAAACGTAAAGAATATTATGATTACTAAATTTTTATTATATGTTTTTAATTTTATCAATATATTTTAACTCAATGATTTTATAAAATTAACTCGATGATTTTAGAAATAAGAATTGAAAAAAATGATTGGTCATTTCATAAGGACCATTGTTAAAAGCATCGTAGTCTCTCTAAATATCATAATTGTTATTTTCTTTGTTGTTATAATTAGCGTTTTCTAAAAGTAAACGGCTAAAAAAGTTAGCTAAAACATACGTTATCATATTTTTAATATATTTTCAATTCAGATAAAGTGCTTTTTATAATTGATTAATCGCACAGGACTACAAATCTTACAGCATTAATTCTTATTAGCCCATTTTATTTCTTAGATATATTTAGAATTTCTTTTCCTAGAAATTTATTTATCATTGTTAATATTTACCATTTGAAAATTCCAAAAGTAAGTTTAAACAACTCAAAATTTAAATCTCTTATTTTATAAGAGTTTAACAAATTTATTTTACCATCTTTTGTTTGCTTATTTTCTTTCATAATGTTCGTGATGAATTAAGGCTTAACAAACCACATGAATAATAACAAGACCTCGCTTACCTCTATCCGGAAAGTCCAGCCCTCCAGACTGAGCAGCTTAAGGGTCGTGTTCCTTGCCAGAGCGTGACATAACAGCCTTGAAGGATGATCGTCTAGGGCCAGTCGGGGACTAGACAAGTCTAGTAATTGTAAACAGGGTGCTTCTGTCAAAGCCAACACCAGAGGCATTACGTCGGCTGGTCTCGATGCTCCAGCGGCCCTCAAAGCATCCAAATTGCGGGCCTTTCTTACGGTCTCGCCTAAACAGCCGGCATCTAAACCGCCCAGAAGACATTTGGACACGTTCAGAGATCTCAGTTTGCAGTTGGGTTCCCTGAAGCACAAAGCGCAATATTGTCGATCAGTTGGATTGTATCGTGAACGAGAAAATGAGAAAAACTTTCTTCTCAATCTTTTCCAGCATAGCGTATATCGCAGACAAAAGTTTCGACGCATATAGAAAAATGAACTAAAACTTTAATAATTTAAAGTTTAAAACTTTATAATAAATATTTATGATATATAAATTGTAAAGAATGTCAACTGTCTATATATACATATTTTTTTTAAACTCTTGGTGTTGCTTTTTCATTTTTATGTAATAAAAATGAAATACAATTTTAAAACAAGACAAAATATAAGAACTTTTTGTAACCAAAACTTTTAAACAAAAGAAATTTAGAAATAAATAAATTTAATATGTTTACTCTTCTTTGTATAATTTTTGTTATAATAGTTTATTTAATTTTGTTGCTGCTTGTGAAGATATACTTATGATATTTCATACCGAACAATTTGATTTGATACAAGAAATAAGAACTTACCAAATTGAATGAGAGAGAAAAAAGATTTAATTGAATTAGCTGATGAGACAGTAATCATTTAAAACTGATGGTAGGTCTGTCGAATTGGATCACGAACAGAATTTGGCCTTTAAGTAAAAGCGAGAGATGTAAAAATATCTGACGGCAATTTCTCGGTTCTCATCATCGTTTATCAATCTTATAACAAAGAACACGACCATTCTCATAACAATGACAAGAAACTTTGAATGAAATGTGATTCGAAATGAGAACGGAATCACGAAAAAGTTTAGTCTTTTCTTTTTGCGGACAAAACTTTCGGAATAACTTGGAACAGATTTTTCATCCTGACATTAATCTTTCTTAAAGGGGTAGTTCAAGAAAACAACGATACATCAAAGATATTGCGAAAGCCTAAATTTTCAGAATTAAATATTTTTGTCAAATTAAAATTGTGATTAATGGTTTTATTTATTAAAAAATAATTGAGGTCTGATCTTATTTATTTATCCTCATCTTAATTTTATCAAGTCATTTAATTTTAAGTTAAACTACTTAATTAGTTTCTTAATTAAATTTCTCATTAAAATACAGCTTTATTGAAGTTGAGAAGAAAATGTTCACGCACAGTCTGTGCAAGTATATCACAATATCAATCCTCTCTCTAAATTTGGTAATATATTTTCAAAAACCCTCTCCCCTCATTTAGAGATATAATTTCTTAAAAAATAAAATACTTGCTCTAAATTATTCATGTGCTTTTTTAAGTTTTCTTCAGAGATATACATATATTTCGTTTTATTACTCCTCTGTCGACCATGTGAAATTTTACATTTTCCATCAGCACAATTTTTGAACTTCAATGCAAATTTTAATATTATTCCAGACTGCATATAAGAATCTGACAAAATTCCTGTGTACTCGTGAAAGCTTTAACAACAAGTTTTATTTTATAGAAATCGAATATTTTATTTTTATAGATTAAAATTTATCAGAATCAAAATATCGATTGTGTTTTATTGATCGGCGGAGTGTTAATAACTTTCTAATAATATATAATTTATTTATATTATTCACAAACTTTATGTACAAAAAATTGCGATATAATTACCTGACCTTCTTTCGATAATTTTCATTTAAGATTAATTTAACAAAACGCTTCACGTGATTTCTACCCACACGCGACTTTCCAAACGCTCTGTGCAATCTCACGACGGTAGATCGATCAACGTCACGACAACGAAACATAATGAACAAACATGCAGCAGCAGTGTAATGCACATCGGTGCAAGACAGAGCGGCGAGTCGAATTATAGGACGAATAATCGAATCGCGGCGGTAGCCGACACCATGAGGATTTACGTGCACGTACGTGCGTTTAATGGGAGCAATTTAAGACGAACGATTCGAAGTACGGACCAACAGCAGCAACAGTAGCAGTAGTAGCAGCAGCAGCCGGCCGGCGGGCTGTATCGCGTCTGGATTTAATGGTATCTACTTTGGTCCATATTTACTGACTGTCTGACTGCTATTGCCACCGCGATACGTACGTACGTTTTGCGATACGTCTGTTACCATCGCTGCTACGTACGTACGTACGTACGTCTAATGGCGTTGCCTTTAACAGTATCGCAATGGGCGCGGTAAATTCACTCGAGAGCCGCCGCACCACTCGATGCAGTATCTTTCTCTCCTCGTATATATACAGGGAGAGAACAAAAATACTGCACCCTCCACGGTGGGAATGTACGCGCGCACTTGCGTTGAATTTCTAACAAAAATAAACGTTTCCGCCAGAAGAGAAACGGGGAATGCGCGTGGTGAATATTCCGCCAGTGCCAGGTTCGCGTAATAAAGCTACGGATTTCGTGAGCGAGGATACCGAAATTTCTTGGCGTTTTATGCGGTTTCGACTTAAACTGCTTACCGTGGAAACGATCCTAGACCGATCGTTTTTTTTACAATTAAATCGTTTTGTAAAGAAAGTCACTATATATCCTTTTAAATGAGCATTAACTAGATTTAGCTAAAATTGAATTATTTTGTCTTTTTTTAGAGACAAAATTAGAAGGTAATTAGCATAATATATGTTAAGTGCCGAGTTAACAATTAAGTTGCAACGTAAGCTTCTAATTTCTTTTAACAAAAGGAAGAGAAATAATAATGTATAAATAAATGATATATGTATTAATAATATACATTAAAACGCGGAATACAAAATTTCCTCCGAAATAAAATGCAAACGATATGTCTCGGAGTTTGTGAGTATTATTGCGTCTCATTTAATTTTCCATAGCTTTAGAGACGAGAAATGCAGATTCTTTAAATCGTGTCGAGAAAAGAAAACAATTTATAAAAATATAAGTATTTAAAAAACAAACTTTTTTACTTTCAATTTATATTTTTCCGATGATATGATCTTACTTGTAAAGAAACGTGTGCTACACAAATTACTAAATTAATTAGAAAAAAATCCTTCCAAATCAAATTGCATCTTCTCGAATTTGCTGAACATATAAATTAAAACTTCAAATTTATATTCGAATTAAATACTAGACTCTTTTTTTATTCATATTTTAATGAAGCTAATTACGTATGACATAATATATGATCTTTTTAAATACATAATTCTGCGTTATTACATTTAAAAAGCGTAGAATTTGTGTGAATTCATTGGAATAAATTGAGCGTGCTGGAGGCGCTGACTTTATTAATAATTACTCAATAAATATTTCGTGCGTATTAATAATTAATGAATTTATATATTGTAGTGCAGTAATGTGCAAAGTGAGAGTTGTATTAAGTATTAACGAGCATTATTCATTCAATATCTGTACAATTGGCGTGTATTTGTATTTACTTTTCGATTTATCCAGAAATCGCATCGGAATCGTGCGACGTGTCGCGGAGCGACGCGACGAGATTTTCGTCGCACGCGGAAAGAACGTTTATCGCGATTCAGAATCGCATCGAAAAGCCATGGGTCGCAATAGAGTCGCAATCGTAAGTCAAACGGCTGCGGTGATATTGTGCTTAAGTTTTCGACAGTTTTACCATCACGGGGATTTCGCGGGACGCGCAACGCCGCGTCGGAAATCGCGAAATCCGCGCGGTTTAAAGGAAAATAGAGCGCGGCGCATTTTTACCGGGGAGTTAAACCTCCACCTTTGCCATCTCGGCTTTATCGCGTCGCCTTTTATTGCCACCGTATTCGAAGTCACTCGACTTTACGCTCTTATAAAGAGCGACACCTTTTGTTCGCCACGAATTTGCGGTGAGAATAAACATTTTGCAACAATTGTGAGATATATTTATTCAATTACGAAATAACATTACAATTTAACGTGCGTGAACTCGACGTTGTGTAAGAATTTGACATTAGCAACTCAGCGTTGGAAAAATCACATAATTTGCACTGTTCTTTTTTTCATGACGTTGATAAATACGTTAATTTGGCTAAAGTTTTCGCTGAAAAATTATGGAACGATTGTCGTATTACGTTGGAGTAAAAATATACGCTTACGTATATTTATGTACTTCAGTTTTAATAGCAATAGATTTAAAATTATAATACGACATAGATTTTGCTGAATCGAACATACGCGACTGACATGCGTATTATTATGATCAAAAATATTATTCACATAATTAGAATCTATGCATCAGACGTATTTTTAACATCTACATTAAAAAAAAACTAAATTTTAATAAATAAATTGTTGGAATATTTTTAAATAAATATTTACTAAATGTCTAAATGTTATTACAAAAACTATTAATTTGATTCAACTATCATTTATTATTGACTAAATATTTATTTACTGAAAGTTTATGTTTACTTGTTCTATTAAAGTACTATTCAAAGAAACATGTATTAAGATTTAGTAAACTTTTTTTCAGTGTGTGTATCACATTTTAAATTCTGAATTAAAATAAAATAAAATATCAATATTAAATAAATAATAAATTCTACAAAGAAACTTAAATGTAGACTTCATATTCTTTTTCTAGAGAACTGGCGAATTTTCGCAGTGCACAAAGTTGCATCGTGAAAGAAAAATAGTGGATGCTTAACTACGTTATATCCCCAACGTGCGTTCTGTGGAATACCCTCCCGCTTTCAACTTTGCTTCATCCCTTCCTTCGACAAGTTCCTGCGAGTTGCATCTTCGACGATCTCTCGGAGCTTGTTAGATAGTGGAACTCCGTTTATGCGGAGAAATTCGGTAACTGATATTCCAGATTCGTCATTAAATTGTTATTACTCCAATGC